CTAATAGCCTGCCCCAGACTTCCCTTACCCTCCCAATGATAATATGACCTTCCTCCTAGGACTACAATGAGACTGCTTGCTATGAAGACACGAGTGAGGTACCTAAGACGTGGACAGTGGAAAGCAGGTAATAGGAGACAGGACCGTGTGGAACTGGAGGGTTTGAATGTACCCGGGACTGCGGAGGAAGCCCAGCTCTGCCATTTGCTCACTGCAAGTTACTGGACAAAGCCTTTGAGTCATCTATGCTGAGGCCCTTGTAGTACTGGAAATGCCTCTGCATAATGGAGATCTCCAAGAGAGTAGTCATTAAAACATTGCTCGCTGCTGTTGACTGGCTTCCACAGCATTCTCAAGCTTGCTGCCCACCCCTTCTAAGGCTGGGGGATGGATATTGATCTGAATGACAAAGAGATTTTGCTAGGCACAATGGCATCATTGTGAGCTATGGGGCTCACAATTTCCTTTCTGACCTTTCAACCTGAAGGAATGCCATTCTGGGCCTGGGTGGTAAGGCGTGGGAGCCAGCCCAGAACTCTATCTACCAGTCAATTGAGGGTGGACCGAGGAGGGACCAACCTGAAACATCCTTGTACAGCAATCTTCTTTTTGAATAGAAGAATCAGGGGCTCAGAATGGGAAAGAGAAGTGCCTGGTCCTCTAGAGCCAACTAAAGGTGGTGTGGAGGCCGCAGCCCAAACTTCCTGTGGATGCCTACTCACACCAGGGCTTACGTTCTCAAAGGACATTTTAAACATGTACACATCAGAAAATTATCCTTTTATCCAAATGAAGGTATGTATATTAGCAACGAATAGCCTAACAAAATGAAAAAGCAAACATTTATCTTGCAACTTAAATATTTATGGCACATCTAAACTCCTATAATATCGTTGTGGCCATTTTTGTTTGCTTTTTGTTTTCTGAGACAGGGTTTGTTTTGTGTACCACTGCCTGTCCTGGAACTCACTCAGTAGATCAGGTTGGCCTCAAACTAGGGGATCTCCCCGCCTCTGCTTCCCAAGTATTGTGATTAACACTGCCCAGCCCTCTTTCTTTTAAAATAACAATGTGGGGCTGGAGGGATGACTCAGCGGGTAGGAGGACTCCCTGCTCTTGAAGAGGACTCCAGTTCAGTTTCCAATGCCCAAATAAGGCGATTCACAGCCTCCCACAACTCCAGTTCCAGGGGATTTGATGCCCTTTTCGGGCATCCTCAGGTTCCTGAAGACGTGTGGCACACATGAACTCACAAAAACACACAGACATAAATTTTAAAAAAAATCATAAATCTTCTTTAAAAATAAAAATAACAGGTTTAACTGGGTGGTGGTGCTGCACACCTTTAATCCCAGCAGAGGCAGGCAGATCTCCATGAGTTCAAGGCGAGCCTGGTCTACAGAGTGACCCGGTCTTCAAAAACCAAACTAAACAAATAAATAATGAACTTAGGGCGGACAAGGTAAGTAGGTAGTTGCCTGCTGCCAAATCTGATGATCCAAGTTTGAGCTCCAGGACCCACATGATGGAAGAGCAGAACTGACTCTCAGAGTTGTCTTCTGACTGCCACATGGCACAACCATTCCCCATACACAAAATAAATAAATCATTTAAAATGTAATAAGCAGGGGCTGGAGAGATGGTTCAGAGGTTAAGAGCATTGCCTGCTCTTCCAAAGGTCCTGAGTTCAATTCCCAGCAACCACATGGTGGCTCACAACCATCTGTAATGAGGTCTGGTGCCCTCTTCTGGCCTTCAGGCATACACACAGACAGAATATTGTATACATAATAAATACATAAATAAATAAATATTTAAAAAAAAATAAAATGTAATAAGCAGCCTGTATTAGTTACCTGTCTATGACTGTGATAAAACACCATATCTAAGGCAGCTTATAAAAGACTTAGTGTTCCAGGTGGTTAGAATCCATGATAGTGGACCAAAGGCAAGGTGGCAGGAACAAAGGAGAGTTTATGTCTCAAATGAACCACAATCTGGAAGTAGAAAGTGTACTGGGCATGGCATTTGACTTTTGGAGCCTCAAAGCCCACCTCCAGTGATACACCTCCTTCAACAAGGCCACACATCCTAATCCTTCTTAAATGATTCCACCAACTGGGGACCAAGTATTGAAACATATGAGTTTTGAGGTCATTCTCATTTTAATGACCACATAATCTTAAAAATAAATAAAAACAAGTTGGGTTGTGGTGGCTCATACCTTTAATCCCAGCACTCGTGAGACAGAGGCAGATTCATTGCTGTGAACTCAAGGTCAACCTGGTCTAGAGAAAGAATTCCAGGACAGTCAGAGTTACACAGAGTTACACATGTCTCAACAAACAAACAAATATATATGTATGTGTGTGCATGTGTGTGTATTAACAGATATAACCAGAAGTGAAGGCGCACATGGTCCCATGGTTCTGAGATGCCCATGGTCCCATCACAGGTAAAGCCCAGAGTTTGAAACCAGGGTGGGCAACATAGTGAAAGCCTATTTCAGAAAAAAAAATCACAAAATTAGCCCTTTTAAACTGTACCATTCTTTGTGCGTTCATATATGTGCATGTGCAAACCATAGCGTTCTATGTGCAGTCATATGTGTGCATGTGCAAAATGTATCATTCTATGTGCATTCATATATGTGCATGTGCAGGTTGCACAGCAGGAAAGGGGCTCCTGAGAGGGGAAGAAGAGATCTGAAGGGAAGTAGAAAATAGAGAAGGTGATGGAGTGTATGGAGTGTGAAAGAAGGAGAAACTAACAAGAGAGGGGGAGGAGCAAAGGGAAGGGCCATACGGGAGAGGAAGGAGAGCAAAATATAATTGCACATATGTGTGAAGATGCCATGATGATGCCCAATACTTCTAACAAAGAAAAAGAAAGGGTGCAGACATTGGAAAAATGGTTTAGTTGTTAAAAACACTTACTGCTTTTCAGAAGACCCAGGTTTGGTTTCCAGCACCCACACGGTAGGTCATAACCATCCCTAACTCCTGTCCCAGGGGATCAGACATCCTCTTCTGAACTCCTCAGGTACCAGTGATATGTGTGGTGCACATACGTGTATGCAGCCAGAACACTCATGCACATAAAATAAAATAAATAGTTCAGAAAGAGTGACTGATGTGACTCTGAACCTTGGGGGTTTTAGGTCAGTGTCTTGGGGTACTTTCTACAGCACAGCAGAGAGTTGATGATGAATCAGAAGAGAGCACAATCAACTGTGGATGCCCAGGGACAAGTCGCTGGAGGAGAGGACCACCCAAGACTGAAAACCACAAGCCTCGGGCTGGAGAGATGGCTCAGAGGTAAAGAGCACTGGCTATTCTTCCAGAGGTGCTGAGTTCAATTCCCAGCAACCACATGGTGGCTCTCAGCCATCTGTAATTCGATCTGGTCCCCTCTTCTGGCATGCAGATAGAACCTGTATAAATAATAAATAAATAAAAGTAAAAAAAAAAAAACAAAACTACGAGCCTCATCTGCCTGAGCTCTGAGGCACCCGGAGATAGACAGTAAAACCTTCCTGGAGTGCGTGTCTCCTGACCACTAAGAAAGGACAGGAGGGATGCATACCCAAAGGATGGAAAAGTGTTCAGTCTCCAGGAAACTTCAGAGTATATGGGGACTTTACCTGCTAAATAGCAATGCTTCCGCTAGCCCCACCCTCCCTAATACCATGCTCTGACAGTTTTATATCAGGGAAGCATACCAGGGGAGGAGTCAAATAACTGGGAAAGAAGAGTGCCCACTAGTGGGATGCCAAAAGCCCAGATGATTTTCCTTATATTCAGCACTAGTCAGCTGACTATTCAGCACTAGTCACTCAGATGACTTTGTCTGCCTCCCTTTCTGATAGACAGAGCCATCATGTCCGAAGGATGTCGATACTTATGGGGGATGCCACTACTATACTTGCCAACTAGATGGGGAGGGACAGGTATGCTCAAGGTCATTTTGATCACAAAAAGGGAAAATCCACTTTTCTTTTTTTTTTTTTTTAAGATTTATTTATAAAGTGTTCTGCCTGCATATATGTCCATGGGCCAGAAGAGGGCACCAGATCTCATGATGGATGGTTGCGAGCCGGGTGCGCAGCCTTTGCTCTTAACTGCTGAGCCATTTCTCCAGGCCAGATCCATTGTTCTAATAGAGAATGATAGTTAAGTACCTTCCTCATCAACCATGTGGTATACACATTGCAGACCCTTGGCGTGACTGATGCACAGGGGTAATGGACAAATACTATCAAGGTGGCCTCCCCTTCCCTAGATACCACTCTGCTGATTTTCACATCCTCTGACAGCTTGTACCTGCAGCTAAACCTGTGCTAGGAATTGAACTCAGGTCCTCTGGACTGAGCCATCTCTCCAGCACCACTAAACCAGTTTTAACTCATCATAACATTGCTCTACAGGAAAGCAAATGGAGAAACAAATAAGATCAAACACATCACCAGGCGGTGGTGACATACGCCTTTAATCCCAGCACTCAGGAGGCAGAGGCAGGTGAATCTCTGAGTTTGAGGCCAGCCTGGTTATAAAAGTTAGTTCCAGGACAGGCACCAAAACTACACAGAGAAACCCTGTCTCAAAAAACCAACAAAATAAAAACAAACAAACGTATCAACAATGTCCTGGAGTCTATACACTCAATATGCTGTGCTTCTAGCACCTGCCCCCTACTTGCAGCAGTACCCACAAACCACTAACAGTGTCGGCCAAGAGAGATGGCATCTACCTGGACCTTCATGATATTTCCCTCTTTGACCAAATACCTACTTTACCCCTCCATCTTTCTCTCCAGCTTATACCTCCAGACCACCAATGTACTGTCAATCAAACCATTACCAGTTTAACCTGTACACCACCTCCTTTCTTCCTTCGGTGTAAGGGAAAGATAGCCCCCGTATAGACAACCCGCTGCCAGGATTCTGTAGCCCTGATGTGATTATTCCACAGGTTTATCTACGCGAGGAAGAAGAGGCACCATTGCTGCTACAAACTAGATGACTGCGAGAGACAGCCTTTCCTTTACTGGTAGGAATAGAAACTTGTCTTGTCGTCTCTCTTGGATCTACCGGGCCTGTAAACAAAGGCTGTCATCCAGACGTGTCATCTGACTGAGGACTCCAGAGGCAAACTCGATCAGGCAATGACATCCACTACTGACAGTTCTGGATCCCTCCAGGGACAGATTGGCTCTCTTGCTGGGGCTATGCTGGAAAACAGAAGAGCACTGGATCTAATAACTGCTGACACAGAGGGACTTGCTTGGCATTAGGGGAGAAATGTTTCTATGTAAATGAGTCAAATGAAGTTGAAACTAATATCAATACCCTCAAAAACTCCACAAAGACTTGCTCTCAAAATTCTAGCCCTTAGAGCAACTTAGCAGATTCAATAACCCCTTGTCTTCCTGACTCCTACCCTTTATCACTCCTCCAATCATGCTATGTTTTATTTTTATGCTTTGCCCCCTGCCTATTCAGTTCCTCCAATTGTAGATCACCACCATTGCTAAAATCACCACCAAGTCATGGTTCACTGCCTGGTCTCTTCCGATGCAGATGATAGGTTCCTCAGGACTTATAACACCTTTCCATGATAAAATAAAAGAAAGAGATTGGGAGGCCGCGCTCATCAGAGGTTGCAGTCTACCGTAGCTTAGCAGGTGTCCCCGGGCTTGGAACAATATGGCAGACTCCCTCCCTCTACAGTTGGGAGGGCGTGTGGTGGTGGGTGGTGTTCTACTCTCTACCTAACCTTATCTGGAGGATGTCTCTAGGTCAAAGGTCTAACTTATCTCAAGAATGTCAGGCAGTGGTGGTACACACCCTTTAATCCCAGCACTTGGGAGGCACAGACAGGTGGATCTCTGTGAGTTTGAGGCCAGCCTGGTCTACAAGAGCTAGTTCCAGGACAGGCACCAAAGCTGGTACAACCCCTTTGGATGTCAGGGTGGCAATTTTCCAGAAAATTAGGAAACAACCTTCATCAAGACCCAGTAATACCACTTTTGGGTATATATCCAAAGGATGCTCAATCATGCCACAAGGACATGTGCTCAGTTATGTTTATAGCGGCTTTGTTTGTCATAGCCAGAACCTGGAAACAACCTAAATGCCTCTCAATCGAAGAATGGATAAGAGAAATATGGTACATTTACGCAATGGAGTACTACACAGCAGAAAAAAATAAAGACAGCTTGAATTTTGCAGGAAAATGGATGGAGCTAGAAAACATTATTTTGAGTGAGGTAACACAGACACAGAAAGACAATTATCACATATAGTCACTCATAGGTGGTTTTAAAACATAAAGCAAAGAAAGCCAGCCTACAAACTACAATCCCAGAGAACTTAGACAACAATGCAGACACTAAGAGAGACTTACATAGATCTATCTACATGGGGAGTAGAAAAAAACAAGAACTCCTGAGTAAACTGGGAGCATGGGGATTTGGGGGAGGATTGAAGGGGAGAGGAGAGAGAGAGGGGAGCAGAGAAAAATGTAGAGCTCAATAAATATAAATAAAATAAAAAAAGAATAACCCTTAAGCCAGTTCCCTGCTAATGCTTTCCCCCTACTGCCCACATGGTAAATGTTTTTTGGGGGTGGGGGGTGGGATTTGAGACAGAATTTCTCTGTGTTACAGCTCTGGCTTCTGGCTATCCTGGGATATGCTTTGTAGACAGGCTGGCCTCGAACTCACAGAGATCTGCCTGCCTCTGCCTCCAGAGTGCTGGGATTAAAGGCGTTCACCATGCCTAGCTAGTATTTTCACTTAAATGCAAGATGACATTTTACTAAGCAGTCTGCTCTCACTCAAACATCTATACCTTTCCACTTCAGCAATTCTTATCTCATCTTTCATATTCAAACTATCAAATATCTCCAGTTGATCCCCAAACCTTTCCATAACCAATCTGTTCAGGTCGATAGCTGTATGAAGATTGTGATCCTCTGGCTTTTTTTAAAATCTAGAAGACATCGTGGAAACGGACATAGTTCTGGGCTGGGGCTCTATGTTCCTCCGTGACAGTGCACTGCCTAGCATGCAGAAAGGTCTGTCTTTGATTTCCAGCACTGCCATCAAAACCCAAAGTGAGGCTAGATATGATGGCCCACGCCTTCAGTCCCAGCACTCAGAAGGCAGAGTAGCAAGCAGATCTCTGGCTCACAGTGAGTTCCCTTTCAAAAATCAAAAACAAGCCAGAAAGCAACAATTTTGTTTCCTCATTATATTGTTTTTCTATCCCATTTGTTCCCTTTTATTTCCTGTAGATGAGCAGTAAGATCTAAAGGAGGATGGATCCAAATAAACTATTTCTTTCTTCCTTCCTTCCTTCCTTCTTTCCTTCCTTCCTTCCTTCTTCTCTGTCTCTCTGTCTCTCTTTGTCTGTCTGTCTCTCTGTCTCTCTGTCTCTCTCTCTCTCTGTCTCTCTCTTTCTGGTTTTTCTGAGACAGGGTTTCTCTGTGTAGCTTTGGAGCCTGTCCTGGAACTCCTGCTATAGACCAGGCTGGCCTTGAACTCACAGAGATCCACCTGCCTCTGCCCCCACCCCGCAGTGCTGGGACATTTGCCACCACTGCCTGGCCCCAAGTAAACTGTTTCTGGTGACATTAAATAGCGTCATTCTTCTCAGTAAATATGTAAGTTACCATATATAACCGAGAATAAGCTGTTGACCTTGTGTGGCGTCACTAATGACAATACATTATCTCACTGATGTTCTATTTCTAGATTAGGATGGTAAATTTAGCCTACGGGAATACGAATACTCAGTTAACCTACTGTTCCTGCCATGGTTTAAGCAGTTGGTATTTATATTTATGTATTTAGAAGGTGTTGTGTAGCTTTCCTTGGGATCCATGAACAAAAGTCTGTTTTGACGGGGCACAGGTCGACAGATTCATTGCACCCATTGAGTTCAGCTTGGTGAGTTTATTGGGGTTACTTGTAGGAGTGTGGGTGTGACCCAAAGCCCATCCCAGCTTGGTGAGGACTCAGGAAAGCATGGTTGGAGCTCTCTGGGAAACAAAGGACCTTCTGGTCCTTCTTTCTTTCTAAGCTTCCTGAGCCTTGTAAGTAGTTAGCTTCTTTTTCAAAAGTATTTTAAATTACAAGTGTGAGCATTCTCTCCTGCCACCATAGGGATCACAGGGATGGAACTCAAGTCACCGGTTAGCAGGGGTTGGGAGTTCCCTTCAGCTGAACCGTGTCGCCAACTCTTAGAACCTGCGAGGTGCTCGGGTTCGCCCGGGCTTTGGTCCGGAGCTGCTTTGGGGCCGCGCCGAGCACACGCCCAGCTCCTGGCTGCGCGGGAAACTTCTGGTTGACTGACACCCAAACCCGCAGGAGGCCAGCTTCCTTCCCCTACCTTACCTCAGAGAATAGGAGATTCTGACCGCTAGAGGGCCGTTTAGACATTTTCTTAATCAACAAAAGTTTGGGCTCCTGGCCGCAGAAACAAAATATAATTTGTTTCGTAAGATATTTAAAAAAAGAGAGAGAAAAGAAGAAAAAGAAAAAAGAAAGCTCGGAAAAGGTATTTTAATGTATGATACTACTTGAAGCAAACTAAAATAATGTCATTCCTTTGGGTGTGCCTGGAAAAGAGCTGTCCCCAACTGCCCGGCTAGCTCAGTCGGTAGAGCATGGGACTCTTAATCCCAGGGTCGTGGGTTCGAGCCCCACGTTGGGCGGTTCAGTTTTCACTTTTCCAGATCTACTTGTCAAACAATCCAGTTCTAAAACAACCATACAGATGAAGCTGGTGTGGAAAGACAGCATTAGTAATGGCGTGGTTCAGTGGATAAAGGAACATTTACTCAACAGGGTCTAAGGTTCGTTATTCTGTCCCTGGAGCCCTCGTGGTTGAAAGGACAGAAATAAGAAAGACTTAAACGAAAAGCAGCAGAAATCCTAAAAGGCTATTCCACCTGTAATTTTTTTCTTTTTCCTGTTTTTTTTGTTTGTTTGTTTGTTTTGTTTTTTGTTTTTTTCGAGACAGTGTTTCTCTGTAGCTTTGGAACCTGTACTGGAATTAGTTCTTGTAGACCAGGTTGGGCTTGAACTCACAGAGATCCGGCTGCCTCTACCTCCTGAGTGCTGGGATTAAGGGCGTGTGCCACCACCGCCCAGCGGTAAACCTTTTATTTCTATTTCAATGTTCTGTTTAAGGGCGGTCTGAAGTGAAACGGTAACGAGAGTACCGTGATGTGAAAAATTAATGAAATCACAGAGTTCACTAACATTGCGTAAGTGATCTTTATTTTTCATTTAATTCTGTCTGTGGTTTTGAAGGTTGATTTGGAGAGCAGTGCCAATATCTTTCTAAACTACTATAAAATGGCATTGACTGCGCGGCTGTGGATCTCTGTCAATTCAAGGCCAACTTGGTCTACTAGAGCTAGTTCAAGAACAGGCTCCAAAGCTACAGAGAAACCCTGTCTTGAAAACAAACAAACAAACAAGCAAACAAAAAAAGCAAGATTGCAGTGACTATACGCAATCAGCCACTATTAGGTGTTTTTGTTGTTGTTGTTGTTATTGCTTTTTAATCACCTTTTCTTTTTATTAAAGTTAGTGATTGAAATTGCAGTATCTTTTGTCATTTTAGAGGTCCCTTTCTTTATAGATTTTTCCCAAAACAATTTCCATTGAGTAAAATGTTGCTTTTATATTGACAGTTCCAAGTTCTTAAATATTTTCAGTCATCCTTCAGCGATTCTTTTTTGTTTTGTTTTTAGTGTTTCAAGACAGGGCTTCTCTGTGTGGCCCTGACTGTCCTGGAACTCTGAACTCATGCTTGAGACCAGACTGAGCTCAAACTCACAAAAATCCACCTGTTTCTGCTGTGCTGGGGTTAAAGGCGCACACCACCACTGCTCATTTCCCTTAGCACTTCTTAAATGTCCTCCACAATTAACTTACTTTGTTATCATCAATTCAAAATACGGTTTCAGATTTCGAAAGACAAAACCTGGACAGTTGCCTGAAATCACCAAGCCCGGTGTTGCAAAATAACAAAGAACAAAGCAAGGAGGAGGAGGGGGAGGAGAGCAAAGAGGGGAGGAAGATACTCCGAGAGTCTGGTTACGGAAATGCTCAGACTCTAGGTGATCAGAGGAATGGAATTTTCCAGGACAGCAGAGAAGCAGCAAGCTGTAAACTGAGGATGAGAACACAGTGAAAATCCCATACATCTATTTAGTACAAATCAGTGTAATAGACAGAAGTGTGTGTCTGGCCAACCTTCCCCCACTCCTGTCCCTAATCCCCACAATCTCAGAAAGTCACTTTATTTAGAAATAGTGTCATGGATAGACGGAATTAGTTTGGATGAAGTCAGGGCAGGCTCCAAATTCAGTATGACCGACCGCTGGCCTCAACACAAAGGAGAAATCTGGCAAAGACATCCCTTCAGACAAATGGGACATCTGTGAAGATGAAGGCAGAGAATGCAGCGTAGTTTCCATGAATTAAGGAACTCCAAATACTATCAGCGAACTACCAGAGGCTTGGGGAGACTCATGCAATGGATTCTGTGTCCTTATCCTCAGAAAATCAACACTATCAACACCTTCATTCCAGCTCCTAAACTGTGAAAACATCCATTTCTCTTGACCTAGCTCTAGTATTTTGTTCTAGATGCTGCTGGAAATGAATATAATCTGCATTCTAGTTGGTTAGTAATTTTGATTTCAAATTTATTCTGTTCTGAAGTATCTCCTAAACGAAATAGAGAAACTAAATGTCATCCTCCTTCTCAAAAGTTTCATGGTTCTACTGGTGCAGCCAGGCCACAGGTCTCCCAGCATCAACATTTGTTTTGTTTTTTTCAAGAATATAAACTGGGCAGTGGTGGCTTATGCCTTTGATCCCAGTACTCAGGGAGGCAGAGGCAGGCAGATCTCTGTGAGTTCGAGGCTAGCTTGATCTACAGAGTTCCAGGACAGTCAGAGATAAACAGAGAAACCCTGTCTCAAAAAACCAAAAAACAAAAACAAAATAAAAACAAACAAACAAACAAGAATATAAAGGCTTATTTGTCTTACTTGCTCCCTAGTTCCATCACTACAGACCTAACTGATCCGTTCTTATTTATTTATTTATTTATTTATCTTAAAGACACAGTTTCACTACACTACCTGGGCAGGCCCACCTCAGCTTTCTGAGTTCTCTGCTAGACAGAGACATCCTCATTGCATTAAATACCTGGCCCTTCTTTAGATGTTGATTTGATATGTATGAGGCAGTCAGGAAATCTAAACATTGACTAAATAAAAGACATAAAGAAAATGTACTAATAGTGTGTGGAGGGAAAGGTTTCAGAGTTATAGTTACTATTATAGAATGAATATAGACATGTTATCTTCGATTTGTGTGTAAATATCTTTTGTAGAGGAAGGAAGAAGGGGTACTTAAGTAACAAGATTGGGTACATGTTAATAACTGTAGAAGTTGAGTGGTGGATGCACCCTGGTTCCTCATGAGTTTAATCTAGTTCTTGTGTTTGTTAATGTGGTGGTGGAGCAGGGGTTGCTGGGGTTTGAAACCAGGACTTAGTATAAACTACCTTCCCCCACCTTCTTAAAACTTGCTTTGTGACAAGGTCTCACTGTGGAGTTCTAGCTGGCCTGAAAATTGCTATATAGACAAGGCTGTATCAGAGTCTTACTCACTTTTCCACTGCTGTGACAGAGTGCCATGACCAAGGCACCTTATAAAAGAAAATGTTTTGAGCCAGGCCATGGTGGCTCAAGCCTTTAACCCCAGTACTCGGGAGGCAGAGGCAGTTGGATCTCTGTGAGTTCGATGCTAGTCTGGTCTACAGGAGCTAGTTCCCAGATAGCTAGGACTGTTACACAGAGAAACCCTGTCTGTTTGCGGGGGGGGGGGGGGGGGAAATAATCAGGCCTTTCAGAGGATTAGACATGACAGCAAAGCAAAGGCACCTAGGCAGAAAGAGCTGAGCGCTCACATCTTGATAAGAAAACAGGATGCAGAGAGGCACACTGACAATGGTGTGAGTCTTTTGAAACCTCATATCCTACCTGGTGACACCCCTCCTCCAACAACACCACACCTCCTAATCCTTTCCAACATTTCCACCAATGGAGGTGGGCACCACCAAGTATTCAAACATATGAATCTATGGAAGGCATTATCATTCAAACCACCACAAACAGGGACCACACTTTGGCCAACACTGCTTAGTTATGCATACCTACTTAAATTTTTTCATTACATATTAATTTTGTGTATGTGTATGTGTTGTGTGCCTATGTGTGTGTGTGTGTGTGTGTGTGTGTGTTAGAGAGAGGGAGAGGTAAAAGGAGAGGGCATGCCACAATAGCGTGCATTTGGAGGTCAGAGGATAATGTTTGGGAACAGCTGTCTCTCTGCTTCCACCATATGGGTCCCAGAGAGAGACCAAGCTCAGGTTGTCAGGCTTGGCTTTTACACACTGAATCATCTCAGTGCCCCAGTTACACTATGTGCGTCTCTTGTCCTCTCCATAAACCCAAACCTCATGTCAGAATCCTGAAGATAAACTGGGAGAGGGTGCTAATGGAACACATAATTTGTTCCTTTCCCAGTGTAGCCACACTGCTTAGCATTAAATAGCTTTTCTCTGCTTTTTACTACTATGTGTCTGTTAAGCTGACCTATTGAGAATAGGCTAAGCCTGGCTTGTTAGAGCAGCCAGGCCCCAAGCTCTGATACTGACTACTCAAGTAATATCACCTAGCATTCAAAAGCAAAAAGGGCTTTACCCTCTTTATCCCAGTAATTACCTCTCATCACCAATGGCAGGACAACCAGGCATCGTGGCATTCTCAAGGGACACAAAGAGAACCATGTATGTTCATGTCTGTGGAGGGCCGCAACCACATTCTCCATCGCTTCTAGGGACAAAGGTAGAGATTGACCTCTGTGACCTCAAGGTGTGGTGGTACACGCCTATAGTCCTGATGCCTGGGAGGCAGAGGCAGATTAACCTCTGTGACCTCAAGGTGTGGTGGTACACGCTTTTAGTCCTGATGCCTGGGAGGCAGAGGCAGATTGACCTCTGTGACCTCAAGGTGTGGTGGTACACGCCTTTAGTCCTGATGCCTGGGAGGCAGAGGCAGATTGACCTCTGTGACCTCAAGGTGTGGTAGTACACGCCTTTGGTCCCAATGCCTGGGAGGCAGAGACAGGCAGATCTCTGTGAGTTCAAGGTGTTGTAGCACACGCCTTTAATCCCAGCGCACGTGCTTGGTAACTTACTACTGCTGCGTCCCTGCCTACTTCCGAGGTATCATCTGGGATAATGGGCAGCGGACCAATCCAAGAGTGACACGTCAGAAGCGAGGACTGTTTCCTTTATAAGGGCTGGGTTCCCCTCATTCTGGGTCTCCACCATGTAAGCTTATGCTCTCCCTCTCAAGACGCATTAAAGCTTTGCTGCAGAAGGATCCTAAGTGTCCCGCGTCGTTCTTGCAGGCGAGACGGTAGCGCGGGACACATGTCAAATTTGGGTATGGTGGCACATGACTATAATTCTATCATTCAGTAACTGGAGGCAAGGGAATGAGCCTCGCTGATGCAGTTGGTTTGACACGAGTATGGAATACGGGAGACCCTATCTCAAAGATAAAATAAGGGCTATGGAGGTGGCTCAATGGATAAAGTGCTTGATGACCTCAGTTCAAATCCACAGAACCCACAGAAAGCAGGAGGTGGGGTTGAGTGGCTGAAATCCCAACATTCCTATGCCTGATCCTCAGGTCTTCAGACTCTGCAGTGGCATGTGATGTGGGATGTTTTTCTGTATGCTGTGAATAAGTCTTATTACCATTGGTTAATAAAGAAGTTGGTTTGGCCAATAGCCAGGCAAATAGAGCCAGGCAGGAAATCCAAACAGAAATACAGGGGAAAAAGGGCAGAGTCAGAGAGATGACAACAGTTGCTGGAGAAGATGGGAGGTGACAAGGCACGAGCCTCATGGTAAAATATAGAGTAATAGAAATAGGTTTAATTTAAGTTGTAAGAACTAGTTAAAAATAAACCTGCACCAGAAGGTCAAACAGTTTGTAATTAATATTAAGCCTCAGAAGGGTTATTTGGGAACTGAAGGGCAGGAGAGAAACCTTCAGTTAGTTATAGGCATGCATGTGTCTCCACTGACATATACAACACAAAATGTATATATGTGTATACAGATGGATAAACAAATACATTTATAAAATCAAAGTCATGTCAGACATTTCAAACAGCTCAGGTTTTTAGAATTTGAATGTCAGGGGCTGGAGAGATGGCTCAGCAGTTAAGAGCACAGGCTGATCTTCCAGAGGTCCTGAGTTCTATTCCCAGCCACCACATGGTGGTTCACGACCATCTGTAATAAGGTATGGTGCCTCTTCTGGCCTGCAGACGCACATGCAGACTGAATACTGTATCTATAGTAAATAAATATGCAAAAAAGAATTTGAATGTCATAAACAAATACTTTTACCACCATTAACAGGATGTGTGTTGTGTATACTTTGTGCCACAGAATCCTCCTCCAATCCCAGTGGCAGTCAATTGAGCCAATGAGCTCTTTTCTTATAATGTTTTCAGCTATATAGAACAAAAAGCATAAGATTATAAAAGTAAATAATTTTGTAAAAATAAAGCTATCAATACTTAAACATATGGTAGGTACATGCTTTAGCAGTACTCTATTAAATAACAGGATCTAGGTCAGGTCTAGTAGGAAAAAAAATTCAAGATCTGCTTTATTCTTAACTATGTGACTATGTGTGTGTCCATGCATGAGAATGCAGATGCCCTGAGACGCTAGAGGCATCAGATCCTCCGGGAGCTGTCGTTACAGGTGGTTAAGAGTTGTCTGACAACAGCTCAGAAAGGATCTTGGATCCTCTGCAATAGCAGCGCATGTTCTTAACCACTGAGTCATCTCTCTAGCCTCAAGCACAGTCATTTTAAAGCAGTGATGAACGTAAATGGTGTTTCTGAAATGTACACAAGCACTGTAATGTGTGTAATGTTGGATAAGAAAGCAGCCTAATTTCTGCTGGCAGAAACGTCGCAGGTGCTGTGAACTGGCATGGCCTATCATCTTCATTCGATTTTATATTTTAAAGTATTTTTTTTATTTTATTAACAACTTTATTACATTTACTTGCTGTGTGGTTGTGTGGGGGCACCTGTGCCAGTATATATGTGTGTGTGTGCGTGTGTGTGTGTATGTGTGATAATAAGATTCAATTCTTTCCTTCTACCATGTGGAACCTGAGATCAAACTCAGATCATCAGGCTTGGAGGCAAGACTTTTTTTAAATCTTCTAAGCCATCTCATTGACCCTGTCTTCACGTATTTGTTTATTTGTCTGTCTGTTTATTTTTATTAATTTTTTTGTTTTGTGCTTGAGTGTTCTGTCTTCCCATGTATGTTTGTGAACTACACAGAGACCAGAAGGGGACATTAGAACTCCTGGTACTGGAGTTATAGGTAGTTGTGAGCTGCTATGTGGGTCCTGGAAATTGAACCCAGGTCCTCTGCAAGAGCAACAAGCTCTTTGAATGGCTGAGCCATCTCTCCAGTCCCACTGTCTCCATTTATACAGAAAGACTAAATTTTAGCTTGAGTTGGGAGATAACAGTTATGCCATGCCATTTTTTTGACTCATGCAAATTAATGCACCATTGAGCTGAGAGTAATGGAGTGTTTGCCTAGAATGTGCAAGGCCCTGGGTTTGACAGCCAGTGCTAAGAAGAAAAGTCCCTATCCCCTTTGAACTGGGCTCATGGGCTTCTAGATTAAGCTCTTCTGATCTAATTTTTAAAAAGGGCACAACAAATAAAGGCTCTGGTCATGCCGACCAGAGACCCAAGTTCCAGTCCAGAACGCACATAAGGTGAGAGGAGAGAATCAACTCCACAAAGCTGTCCTCTGGCTTCCACGTGAATGGTGGCACTTGTGCCAGTACATACATCATGCACACATAATATTTTATAAAAGAGGGAGGGACTGTATTGATCATTCATTGGTTAAAAGCGCTTACTGCTTCTCTATGTGCAACTGGGGTTACTGTGAGCTGCCATGAAGGTGATGGGAATTGAACCCAGGTCTTCAACCCATGCTCTTAATTGATGAATCACTTCTCCAGTCCTCATAACAAAATATTTTTAAATGGTCATTAACATATTTTTGTTGAGCGGGCTAAATGGTTCAGGGGCTAGAGGAACCAGCTGCTAATGATGATGACCTGAGTTCACAGAACCCACATGACGAAAGGAGAGAACTGGCTCTTGCAAGCTGTCGTCTGACGGCCAACGTGTGCAGCACACATAATAAACAAACTTAAAATTTATTATTAAGGTGTAATATAGGTATGATAAAGTGCATTACATAAGGTGTACGGTTTGATGTGCTTAAAAATTCACATAATCACTATCATACAAGATCTAAAAATCAAATATAGAACATTCCTAGCATCTCAAGATACCTTAGTGCCTCTTTTCTATCTATTTCCCTCTGCCTACCCTGGACATCCACTGCCTCCATTTCTAACCCATTGTTGGAAATCTTGTACCTTGCTTCTTTTACACGACACACTTCTGTTGTATTAAGAACAGAGAGAGGAAACACCGTGTTTGGCAAGAATGTGGGAAAACAGGTATTTTCTAAGTTGCTGGTTGAAACGCAACCAGAGAAAGCCTTTCACAAAGTAGTTTAAAATTCAGAAGCTGGGTGTGGCAGCAAATGCCTCGCATGCCAGCAGCACGGAGGCAGAGACAGGCAAAACTCTGAGTTTGAGGTGAGCGTGGTCTGCAGAGCTAGTTCCAAAGCAGCCAGGGCTACACAGAGAAACCATGTGTTAAAAAAAAAAAAAGCAACAGAAAGTTAGAGGCAGAATCTCAGGAATCAGAGTCAGGTAGCTTCTTGTGAGTTCAAGGCTGGGCAGTCCGCGCAGTCTACGCGTCCAGTTTCAGGCCAGCCAGGTCCATACAGAGAGACTGTTTTAAAAAGGAAAAGCCTTGGATGCAAAGGCTTTCCCAGGGTAGGTAGGTAGGTGCAGACTGTGGAAGGGCTTCAGATATCAGGATGACAATTTCTGGGCTTATCTCCTAGGTAATAGCTTTAAGTTTTTGTATGTAATTTGTGTAATTCTGTGGGTATAGTGTTACTTCACAGCAGAGTACAGTAAGGAGTTTTTTGAACAGAGGGACAACATGAAAAAAAGGTGGTTTTTTTTTTTTTTCAGATTGTGAATACATTCAAAACTACCTCAAAGAAATAAAATGACAGAAAGGGTACAGAGAGGTCAGGTACGGAACTCTGATTTTAGCATCAATCACAGTTTGCCTCCTTCTTTGGGACTAAGTCAGAAGTCAGAAGCTGGAATCTACAAATGGTCATGGGCACCGACCCAATAAACAGCGCACGGCTTTCTAAACACAGAAGCTTCTGGAGCGGACTCCTTCCTGCTCGCCTCTAGCTTCATCTCTGGCCTCCAAAGCTCCCTTAGGCCGAGTGCTGGTGATGCTGTGGCCACTTCAACACCCTCATCTCCTCATCTTGTGTATAAGCATCCGTCTGTGAGACTTTTCCATCCTTTCATTGACAGCCAGTGATTTACTTATTTCTTCCTCCTTTTCACCGACAGAAAACCAAATATGGGTTTTAACAATACTCTGG